TGCATGAATATATATAGATCACAGTACAAGCAGAGACTACAGCAAGTGTGGAAATGTAGGCACAAGGCCCAACAAAGTACAAAAGCGCTGATGATCACCAGACGGAAGTGCCTTGGTGAATATATCAGCAGTGTTGGCCCGAGTAGCCACGTAAGCAAGGCGAAGCTGACCCCGCTGCTGCAACTCTCGAGCCAAGAAGTAACGCAGAGCGATGTGCTTCATTCTGTGCTCCAGTCTGTGCTCCTGACACAAGGCAATGGCGGCCTTGTTGTCTACGTACAGCACTGGAGGAGAACGAGGCCGCTCTCCCAAGTCGGTCAGCAGGTAGGTGAGCCAGCGTAACTCCTGTGCAGCCATGGCAGTGGCGTAGATCTCAGCCTCACAACTAGAGCTGAGAACAAAAGATGAGCGTGTAGACCGCCAAGAAACAGAGCCGGAGCCAAGGCTGAACGTGTAACCCCGTGACGACCGCTGTGTAGCTTGGTCGTCAACCCAAGAAGCGTCTGTGTGACCAGTGAGGACAACTGGACTCCGCCCTCCAAGCACGAGCCCCATGCCCGATGTACTGCACAAGTAGCGCAGTACCCTCTTAACAGCATCCATGTGCACCTTTCGGTGCCGACCAGGAGCCACGTAGCGAGGCAGAAGGCCAAGAGGGTACGCAAGATCAGGACGAGTGCAGGTCATCAGGTACATGAGGCAGGCCACTAGCTCTGGGTAAGGACCATTCGGCTCTATGGACTCGTCCGAAGGTGGAGCTGAGAGCAAGTGACCTGTAGCCAGAGAAGTGTGCTGTGCTGAGGACCAGGTGAAGCCGAAGCGCTGAAGGACCTGCTGCACCATGTGTGACTGAGTCAGTCTGATGGTGCGGCGTGCTCTGTCCCGGGTGATCTGCAAGCCAAGATAGCTGCGCAGCTCACCCAGGTCTGTGCACGTGTGTCTCTTCTGCAGCTTCGACTTCACCAGGGCGAGAGCCTCAGTGTGAGCAGTGGCAAAACCAAGTCGTCGACGTACACGAGGATGTAGAGCGGCGGCAGCGAAGTGTCAGTGCGCAGAAACAGCGACGGGTCAGCAGTCGAATGAGCAAACCCAAGAGCCGCAAGTGTCGTCCTCCATGTGTCGTGCTACTCACGTGGTGCGTGGCGGAGACCGTAGACCGGCCGCCGGAGGCTCCACTGGGTACCAGGAGGGAACGACCCAGTGAAGCCGGGTGGGAGGCGCAGCCAGATCTCCTCGTGCAAGCTGCCCTGTAAGAAAGCAGTGCTGAAGTCAAGAGAGTGAAGCTTGTAGTCACGCTGAGCGGCAACGTGCAGCAGCACCCGAAGAGTGGTCATCTTCGGGGTGGGGGAGAAAGTCTGGAAGAAGTCAACTCCCTCTCGCTGACTGAAACCCCGAGCAACGTAACGAGCCTTGAAGACAGGCGGAGAACCTGGCGGTCGCTTCACCCTGAAGATCCACATGCCACTGATGATGTTCGCCCAGGGAGGGGGAACGTCGTCGACGTACGTGTCTGTGGACTTCCAGGATGCCATCTCTGCGTCCATGGCTGATTGCCACTAAGAGGAGTACTGAGTCGCGATCGCCTCAGCATAAGAGCGCGGGGTGGGGATGTCTGGTGCATCCGGGTCTCCCTCAGGGGCAAGCAGCATGGCCACCAGTTGAGGCGCAGCGGCCGCAACACACTCAAGGTCCTCGTGCCTGTCCTGAAGGACGTCCGTGCTAAGAGCACACTCACCCCCGACGGACGGAGGACAGACAGACTCAGACTCATCAACAAGACTCGCAGCTTAGTCTAGACGACAGGCAGCAGCAAAGTCGACAAGCTCAGTGACTAGGGAAGACGCAGCAGTGGACTCAAACGACGGATCAGTGACAACTGTGGTTAGCAGACGCGTGACAGTAGGGTGCTCAGTACGAAACTGGTCAGACTCAGGGTCTGCAACGACAGGCAGAGAAGACGCAGGAGGAGATGGCAGAGGAACATTCTGCGGAGGAGAGGAAGGACGACGGACTACAAGAGAAGGGCCGGGGACAGACGGCTGACGCTGACGAGGAACACGACGTTTGGAACGACTAGAATAGACAGGTGAGACAGGACGCGACGCAGGGTCACGACGCTCAGTAAGGCCCTCTGTCTGCTCAACGTAAGGAGAAGTAGCAGGCAGAGGTGAGCCAGGCTGTAACGGAAGACCATTAGACGACGGGAGGCTAAGAACCTGGCGAAGCATGGAGTCAGGCGGTGGCAGAGACGACGGAGACGGCGGAGCAAAGAACAGGCACGGCTGTGCAGTGCCACCAGCACCAGCAGCTCTAGCACCCTCAACAGCTCCTGCACCTTCAGCAGCTCCAGCACCCTCAGCAGCTCCAGCACCTCCAGCAAGTCCAGTACCCTCAGCAGCTCCAGTACCTCCAGTAGATCAAGTGCCTCCAGCAGCTCCAATACCCTCAGCAGCTCCAGTACCTCCAGCAGCACCAGCGCCCTCACCAGCTCCAGCCCCTCCAGGTGCAGCACCCCTAGAACCGGCACCCCCTCTCCCAGGGTCTCCAACCGCAGTGCCACCAGCAGCAGCACCCTCAGACACACCACCGCCAGCCCCAGCATCTCCAGTACCCCCAGTCCGAGCACTTCCGGGACCAGCAACACCAGCACCTCCAGCAGGCAAAGGACCAGCACCACTCCCAGCTCCAGTGACGTCAGCAGAAGAACCCCCAGCAGTAGAGCCCTGAGGTGCAGAAGCGCGACGGTGACGGCGACCGTATCAATCGTGCAGCTGTTGGGAGGTGAGAGGCACACGCGGACGAAGACGGCTACTCCAAGGAGACCGCGTAACAGCAGTTTCAGAACCCTCAGACAACTCACCTCCCAGACCCAGCACCCCCAGGCTCCGCACACGGAGGTGCAGCACCCCCAGACGCAGCACCCCTAGGCTCAGGACTTCCAGGCTCCTCACGCGCAGGCTCCGCACCTCCAGGCTCCGCACCCTCAGGCTCCTCACGCTCAGCACCTCCAGACTCAGCACCCCCACGCTGCGCACCCCTAAGCTCCGCACCTTAGGGACAGCACCACTCCCAGCCGAACCGGAGTCACCAGTGACCTCAACAGGCGTAGGGATAGGAGGGTCTACCTGAGAAACACCTATAGGAGCAGGGCCTGGCACAGGGAGGGGGTCTACCTGGGGAGGACCTGGGGCGAGAAAGAGCGCTGGGAGGGGGCGAGGAGTAGTGCGGTAGGGGAAGAGGTGGTAAAAGGGGACCGACTCGTAAAAGGGGACTTGCGGCATGAGCACAGGCGGAAGGAGGCTGCAGTGGAGTGCTGCGAGGGGCCTAGGCGTAGAGCCGGGATCAGGGGGATGGCCAGCAGCCAATCTCCTGCCCCAGGCCCGAGGAGAGACTGCAGGCGCTGAGTGTGGCCAAAGAGAGGGTTCAAGGGCATTTCCCGAGAGGCATCGAGTAGCTCAATGTAGCGGGCGGTATGGACTGCCAGCGACAAGGCCTGCTGTAGCTTCGGACCATCAGGGGTCCGCCGGCCGACCTGAAGCGCCTCTAGTCTGTCTGGGGGCAGCGCGGCCTCTGCCGCTGCCAGGCGCCGTGGCTCCTGCTCCTGCCACCCCTACCGCCCCTGCCACTGCGACGCTTCCCACTACGAGCGGAAGCAGCTTTGACCTCCTCAGCACCAAGGTAGTCGTGAGCAGCAGCTGCGGAGGCGTAGGAGGGGGTGAGAAGGGAGGGGGAGCACCCCTCGAAGAGGGGAGAGCGAGGAGTGCCACGAGCAGCACCTACAGCGAGGATGTTCTTCTCTACTGCGAGGAGGTGCTTCTCGAAGTCGTCGACAGTGAGAGTGGGGGGGTCTAGCACGAGGAAGTGGTCCCTGACTGAGCTAAGAGTGTCAGGGAGGCGGGTGACGAGGAAATAGAGAGTGAAGTACATCGGGGGGGGGGGGGGTTAGCGGCGCAGAACTCGGCTGAAAGGGCGGCACGAAAGCAAGTGTCAGTAGCGCGCAGGTGGGATATGAGGTCCTCAGCAGTGGTGAACGAGGAAAGGTCGGAAAACAGGTAGGGTAGCATGAGCTGACCTATGGCTGCAGTGGCCGGGGAGGAGTAGCGCGCAACTATAGCGTCGTACAGCTTCTTAGCTGTGCTGGCTGAAGTGCGGGCGCTCAGTAATCGGCAGATGGCTCCTAATAGCTAGGCGTGCAGTAGCATCACGAGTTTGCCATTGCGAGCGTTCGAGAGCAGGAGCAACGACAGTGCCAGACACGTAATCGAAAAGTGAAACACCCTCTTTGGCATCGGTCAGAAGGAACAGTTGGAGATCATCTAACCAGACAGTGAACTCTATGGGGCGACCGTCAGGCTCGAACGCGAGAACGTTAGGCGTCGTCATAATGGTAGCAGGCAGAGGCAGAAGGCAGCAGGTAGCAGACAAGAGGCAGCAGGCATCAGGCCACAAGCAAAGACCGATGCAGCACGCAGTAGGCAGGAGACAGCATGCAGCAGGCAGGAGACAGCAGGCAGTAGGCAGCAGGTAGGAGCGGCCGCACGCGAGCTCCTAAGGCAGCGCGCTAAGCAGCTGCGGGCCGCGCAGGCGGCGGACGCGACGCGCGGCGCAGCGGCGGGCCGCGCTGGCGACAGACGTGGCGCGCGGGGCGACGGCGGGCTGCGCGCGGCGTCGAGCTGCGCGGGCTCTACGCGGGCTGCGCGGGCAACGCGGGCCGGCGCGCGGCGCTACAGCAGCGGCGCACGCTAAAAACAGTGGCGCGCGCGCTAGTAAGCGAGGCGCGCGCGAAAAAAAAAAGTGACGCGCGCTGCAGCCGAGGCACGCGCGGGCAGTAGGCAAGGCAGGCAGTTAGGTGGGCCCGATTCTTAGGTCCTAGAGACCTCCTGCTCTAGTTACCATGTAAAGAACTAAGGCAAGAATGGGGTAGATTAGGTGAAGGTTTGGGTACAAGACTAGGGTATCGAGAAAGTTTGTATACCCCCTAAGGCTATCCCCAATATAGCCTAGATAATGATATCCATATATTTCGACAAGAGCGAGGGCGACGGAAAGGGAGGGGAGAGAGCGAGGGTGACGGAATGGGAGGGGAGAGAGCGAGGGCGACGGAAAGGGAGGTGAGAGAGCGAGGGCGACGGAAAGGGAGGGGAGAGAGCGAGGGCGACAGAAAGGGAGGTGAGAGAGCGAGGGTGACGGAAAGGGAGGGGAGAGAGCGAGGGCGACGGAAAGGGAGGTGAGAGAGCGAGGGCGACGGAAAGGGAGGTGAGAGAGCGAGGGCGACGGGAAGGGAGGGGAGAGAGCGAGGGCGACGGAAAGGGAGGTGAGAGAGCGAGGGCGACGAAAAGGGAGGGGAGAGAGCGAGGGTGACGGAAAGGGAGGTGAGAGAGCGAGGGCGACGCAAAGGGAGGGGAGAGAGCGAGGGCGACGGAAAGGGAGGTGAGAGAGCGAGGGCGACGGAAAGGGAGGTGAGAGAGCGAGGGCGACGGAAAGGGAGGGGAGAGAAAGAGGGCGACGGGAAGGGAGGGGAGAGAGCGAGGGCGACGGAAAGGGAGGTGAGAGAGCGAGGGCGACGGAAAGGGAGGTGAGAGAGCGAGGGCGATGGAAAGGGAGGTGAGAGAGCGAGGGCGACGGAAAGGGAGGTGAGAGAGCGAGGGCGACGGAAAGGGAGGGGAGAGAGCGAGGGCGACAGAAAGGGAGGGGAGAGAAAGAGGGCGACGGGAAGGGAGGGGAGAGAGCGAGGGCGACGGAGAGGGAGGGGAGAGAGCGAGGGCGACGGGAAGGGGGGGGAGAGAGCGAGGGAACGGTAACAAGGACCTGAAGAGGGATCGACGGGACATGCGATGGTACGTGCGATTGGACGGGCTGACGGGACACGGAGGGTGGAGTGCGTTGGGAAGTCGATTGTGATGGAACGCGAGGGCGGCGGGAGGCAGAAGAAGAAGGGCGAGGGGGGTGAGGACTGGCAATGGGAGAGAGGAAGGGCAATAAGAGAGAGAAAAGGCGACGAGAGAGAGGAAAGGCGATAAGAGAGAGGAAGGCGACGGGAGAGAGGAAAGGCGACGAGAGAGAGGAAATGACGGGACAGAGGAAGGCGACGGGAGAGAGGAAGGGCGGCGGGAGAGAGGAGGGCGACGGAAAGAGGAAAGGAGACGGGAGAGAGGAAAGGCGACGGGAGAGAGGAAAGCGATGGGAGGGCGTTTCGTTGCGAGTGTGATGGCGACGTTGCAAAGAGTGACGCAGCGACGTCAGAGCGAGGCCGATTGCGACAGGGAATGTGACAATTTCACGATATGCGGAAAACCGATATTCTACTAAATAATTAGGCAACCAAGTTAAAAACATAATCGATGCACCTAGGCAGAAAATGTCTAGGTTCTCAGCTATTCTATGCTAGGCTGAAAAATAGTCTTCAGGAGTTGAAACTAGCTACGGTAGTAGTGAACCCATGGACCGCTTGAACATGAAGCTGGGTCAAGCGATCGAAGCCATTGTTGTGCACCCGTCGTGCAAGTACACGAATGCGACTCCTTGTACAAGCGGCAAATTTTGTTTTGGCGGGAGCCAATCACGTAAGCTCGATCTGTTCAGACGGGTTGTTTGGAACAGGGTTCTTGCTTGCTTCAACGGGCTTACGAAAAAACTCATTTTCAAGTTGGGATGGGGTTCACTATTTTAGCTGCTGGCTTTAAAGCTGCGGTCTACATACGAAAATGTATTTTCGGTGGGTATTTTGGGTGCACACCCTAGGACGCATGCTGATTGGGGAACGAAATGACTCTTTCCATAAATGAGCACGCGAATGTTTCAAACAGAACTGGCGAATCCCGCCAGTTTCGTGAAAGGTTCGGTTCGGGGGGTAATTATTTCCGGAGGATTGGGTTGTGTTGGCGATTTCGCCAACACGTGCAACCAATCCGAGTTGGGGAGCAGAATGGCGCGAAATTTAGAAGCCAATCCTGTTTCGCCCAATTTTCAGAGGAAAGGTTGTGCTTTTAGGGTGCAGTAACTCCACCTCGCCACTCAAGGTTGGAGCGAAGCTAAGTGCAACCGTGTTTTCAAGTGATAAACCTAGGCCTCCCGCAGGAGGTATGTAGGCGACAGCTTTAATAGGAACTCCCGATCATCCACGCTGTTATATGTATTCTGGATAGTGTCCCTCGATTGTATCAAAGAAATCGCAACAGAAAATAGATTGTACACCACTTACCCCTGGAACTTTGTGCCGGCTTGAACTAGTGTAGTAGTTCCACACGTGAACTTGCTTGATTCCGTAACTGGTCAGCAAAGAGCTACTTCTGGCATGAATTCAACGACTAACCATTCAACTTAAACGAGTCGTAACCTGGTCGAACCGAGGAACATGGACAACTGGAAGAAGGACACGGACAACAAATTGTAGCCCGATCAGGCTTGAGAATAATCAGAGAAATTACAAGAAGGGGGAGGGGGCAGAGGGACGGGGGGTGGGAAAGCACATGAATGTTCTCTTGTCACAATCGGGAACAACCGGTTTGAAAAAAATCCAAATTACAACATCATGCCATTGAATTGTGCCACTCACCATCATAGAAAGGCATGAAGATAGCAAGAACTCACCATCACCAAAGGATGGCATGAAGATAGCAAGAACTCACAATCACCAAAGGATGGCATGAAGATAGCAAGAACTCACCATCACCAAAGGATGGCATGAAGATAGCAAGAATTCACCATCACCAAAGGATGGCATGAAGATAGCAAGAACTCACCATCACCAAAGGATGACATGAAGATAGCAAGAACTCACCATCACCAAAGGATGGCATGGAGAGAGCAAAGACTCACCATCACCGTAGGATGGCATGGGGAGGGGAGTGGAGATAATTCTCCTGGCAACGGTGGCAATGGTTAGCTGCTGTCACCTCCCTCAGCTGCAGCAAGTTGTCTGCAGAGGGGAAGGGGGAGCGTTAGAAGTGAGGGGGAAGTATGGGAGAAGGGTGGGGGAAGATGGCGTTGGGGGTTGAGTGGAGAGCCCCAAGGGGAGAGGCGGCGGGAGAGGAGAGGCTCGAGTGGTCGTGCCTCAAGTCGTCTGCAGGGAGCAGGGGTGGGTGTCGGAAAGCGAGGGGGAAGAGAGGGTGTTGGGTGTTGAGTGGAGAACACGCAAGGGAGAGGCGGTGGGAGGGGTACAAGCGGTGCGTCTAGTCATATCGTGTCACCTTGAGTGAACACGTGGTGTTGCCCTTCCAGCTCCCCCTCAAATCTCATCATCCGCATGCCCTCCTCTCTCTATCGCGCGCGCTCCTCTTCATACTCCGCCAGCTCGCTCCCCTCTAGCGTCCCGTCGTCCGCCTCCTCGTCCCCCACGCCCACGCCTTCGCCGTGCAGGTGGCGCTTCCGCGGGTCGTCGGAGTGTACGCGGAACGGCTTCCGCGCGCCGTGCAGGCGCGCGTAGCCACCACTCGCACGCGCGGTCGTCGTGCTGCTGCTCCACCTCTGCCAAGAGCGGATCGAACGCCACGTGGACGACGCGAGGGTTCTCCTCGCTCGTCGCATCGCCTACCGCGTCGAGGACCATGTCGTCGGCTGTCGCGCTGGCGACGCGTGACGCGAGATCCTCGATACGAAACGAATCGCTTAACGAAATTCGCCGTCTGGTAAGCTCGAGGAGTTTGCGACCGTCAGGAGCACGGGAAGCGCGGAGCACGGGAAGCGCGGGTGAGAATGAGAGTTATGACGAGAATCAATGCATGCACGTTACCAGTTAGCGACAGTCGCTGAGACTCGTACCCGCTAAAGAGTCGCTATAGTGGCTGCAAACCATCGTAGGTGTCGTAAGCGGAAGTGATGGGGAAGAAAGCTTACTAGGCTGACCCAGTTTCATAGTTTTACCTGGTCACTCAGAGAAACTGAATCGGCTGGGTCCGCGCGGGACAAGCTATGGTGACTGGCGAAGATTGGAGTGCGTGTGGCGAGGCGATGCGAACGCCGCTTTCGCCCTTTTCGCCTTGTGAAGGTTGGAGGTTGGAGTTCTGTAATGAAGTGTACTTGCGAAAGTTGGATAGAGGCTATTTCGAATTCCGCGAGGCGAAGGTGTTATCACATCAACATTGAAAAGAGGTTCCGGAAGGTGGTTAGGATTGGCGAAATTTCCATTAACAATTATCCTTTACATTATTACCTATCCCCCCCAACCTCCTCCCCCTACACCAACTCTCCACATCACATTTCTACTGCACCACAAGTCACATCCATCATGTGCATGTTATCACCCCCTCAACTTTTTGAGGGCGAACCACGTGAGTCACACCAAGTCTAAATGACAGCGGCAAGCTGGCACTCGGTGGTGTTGGTCATGGAGTAGCTGTTGCCGTTGCCGAAGCGCAGCTCCTGCACGCAGGGCCGGAAGTCCCACAAGTACGCATACACAATGTTGACTGTCTCCCCGGGAAGCATCTGCAGAGTGCCGCTAGCACCACGGTTCATGCGCATCTCACAGTACCCCGGCGTCGTCTGCACAAAGATTTCGCCTTGCTGGTACTGCGAGGGGTTGGGATCGGGGTTGTCGAGGATGCCCTCCCACACGTTGCCGAAGTTGAAGCACTGCCACACACGCAGCGGGCTGGTGATGTTGTAGGCGCAGCCGTTGTAGAAGGTCATGTTGTAGATGTCGTTGTGCAGGTCGTACGGCCCCAGGTATTGCGACCGAATCGTCACCGCCGTGCGCCCGCAGGCTGGGAAGGGGGAGGGAGGAGATGTGGAAGGGGGGAAAGAGGAAGGGAATAATGTTATCAGAATTCAGATTGTCACCACCATGCACCCGTACACTAAGCACACAACAGAGGAGGAGGCAACGGGAGCAGAGGAATGAGAGGCAAGGGGAGCAGGGGAATGAGAGGCAAAGGGAGCAGAGAAATGAGAGACAAGGAGAGCAGAGACAGGTTGTGAGAAGAAGAAACAGCAGAGCGAAGGAACCAAGGAAGGGAAGAGAGGGAGAGTGGGGAGCAGCGTTGCGTACAGGTGGCGAGGGCCTGGCGGCGGGGGATGTGGTCGAGGTAGCCGGGCAGAGGCTCGTGGTGAGCGAAGGTCTCAGCCGCCAGAATGCGCGCGCCCTTCCTCTGCTGCCCCGCCGCGCCAGCCACTCCGCCAGGCGCGGCGCCATCCGTAGGGACGAGGCCCCTGGCGACCTTCATGGCGTCCCGCGCTCCACTCACCGCCGCCGCCAGCAGCCCCACCGCCAGCGCCGCCAGCACCAGCACGCGCATGCCAGCCGTCGCCATGAGGAGAGGCGCGGAGATTATAGGAGAGAGGCGAGAAGCGTGAAAGGTTTGGTGAATACCTCAGTGGGAGGAGTAGTGGGAGCACTGGGCGAGCTGATGAATTGCTGACGGCCCATCATGGCTGTTTTATAGGAGGGGATAGACCGGGTGATGCGGGGCACGGATGATGCTAAGAGACGGTTTCTCTCCTCTGGCACGGAGGAGGAATCGCCCTTCCTGCTGCAGCTGCTGGTGTTGGAGCTGAGGAGCCATCAATGCTGCGGCAATGGAGGAGGTGAGAAGTCAGGACGGCACGGCAAGAGTCACTGTTGATTGCCATGCTGCCTGCAGAAATCGTTCCTCTCACATCGCCACTGCTAAACTGTTCCTCTCCTCGTGCCCACTTGGAATTCCCGCTGAGAACATCCGCTTTGAGCGGCCGCTGCTGCGCATAGGAAGCTGCCGTGAGACACGGAGGACGACATGCCAATGGTCGGCAGAAAGAGTTCCAGCTGATCTGCGACGCTCCAGATCTCGCCGACACGTGAGACACGTGTGCGAAATGTCAATGGACGCCAATCGTCCTGCGAATGCTCCAAATCTGCCGCGCGGCTCAGAACTTGCGAATTGATGTGCTGTCGGGACGCAGAGATTTCAATCGGCGGCTCGATCTGCGTCAAAACAACCATGGGAACCGACAGCGACACGGGCGTGGAAGTCCGTTGCCTTGAACGGATCGATCGACGGTTAAACCAAACGACTGCATGCGATTCGCCAGATCGGAATCAGCCACGCTCCCATTTCGTCGAAGCTCCTCTGACCAACCAGTCCCTTTGGTCGAGCTTGGGGACAGTTAACCGGCTGTCTGCGAGTCTAACGACATGCAGCAGTCGAATCGCGAACGACATGGTGGTTGCCCTACTGAACAACGGCTTTCCAGCATTTCAGACGGTTAGGCTGCTGTCTGGTCGGAGTAGTGTGCGTGTCGCTTTGTCGCTTGATGGTTCTACGAGCAACTAATTGGTTGGCTTGGCAACCTAGAAAATACCGCAAGCTGGTTTTGGTGGAGGGTGGTGTCTATTGGTGTGCCTCGGGCAAAACGGTTATTGCAGCATCACGAAGCCTAGATTCGCACAAACGAATTTCGGCGAAAGTCATATGGATACGAAGAATATCAGGGCGTTAGTCTCTGAACGAATTTTGGTTTACGACGCTGCCGACTGGAAACTACTGTAACCTTGCTCACCTTGCATATCTGACAAGCCTCATCTTTCACCGAAGTTAACTTCGCCGTAATCCATCAACCATCTCATATCGAACACGCTTGTAGGAAAAATGTTGGAACACACAGTGTTTAGCGAATCCCAACTTGAAGAGAACCAAGACTAGCGAAGCGAGAACACCTTGTATAGAGCACATGAGACAAGACAAGCACACCAACCAGATATCACACTACGTACATGAGTGGGTACTAGAACCCAGTCAGCAAAGCCATTCAGAAGCCCACCACCTGCTCAATGAGCACAGACATCTCCTCCCCTTCCTCCTCTCCCTTGCTCTTCCTGGGCGGCAGGATGCCAAACTCGCTCTGCCGGGTGGCCTACAGCTTCTCCAGAAGCTTCTCATCGGCGTTGAAGGCGGCGCGCTGCACGGAGGCAGGCAGCGTGCGCCACACCGAGTTAGTCCCCGCCAGGAACCCCTGCTGGAAGCGGCTCTTGGGAATCATGGCAATGCACTCCAGACCCTCCCCGTATGCCAGCTGCACATGCAATGAGGGGAGACCAGGGGAATCTGTTATCAACGGCCCTCAAAAACAGGCTCTTGGGAATCATGGCAATGACATAGGCAATCTGGGCAAAAATACAAATGGGGAGAGGGGCAGAGGGAAAGGGGACAAGATCAAGATGCTGTGCTACTGCAGCAGAACACAGCAGAGCACAGCTTCAGTGAGCAAGCAAACGTTCCTTTCCACTCATAGCAGAGTGTGGGAAGCCAGCGGGCATGACCACCAAGTCACCCTCCTTCACATCGTGCCTGCCATCCGGATACACCATCTCCACCCGCCCCTTGCCCTTGGCTTGGTCACATACACCATCGCCGCTGCATTCGCCAGCCACGCTGGCGCCGTCATGGCGTTGCCCTCCAGGCTGAAGCACGCCACTGCAAAGCCCACTTTGCGGAATGCCGGCAGCTTGTACCCGTTGGCTGCCGTGACCGTGCCGCCGCGCTTCACGTAGATGTCCGGCTGGCGGGCCTTGAGGTTGTAGGAGAAGTCTGCAAAGATGCTCACACCAGGTTTTGCTCCCTTGCCAAAGTGTGGCTGATCGTTTCCCCCATATGCCTCCTCCTCCTCCCACTCATTCTCCTCTGCCTCCTCCGCCTCCTCCTCCGCCTCATTCCCATTCTCATTCCCATTCCCATTCTCAGTCTCTTTCTCATTCTCATTCTCCTCCTCATCCTCCTTCCCATAGTTTTCCAGCTCTGCCCGAAGCTGCGGAGTGACTTTGACAAATACGCTTTCCTGCTGCGCCTGCAGCAGCTGCTGCACCTCCCCCTCCTCCACGTCCCACGCCTGAGCCAGCAGGTCGTGGCTGGTTAGGAGGAGGTATGCGGGGAAGGGGTGAGAATGGGAAAGGGGAGGGAGTGGGGGAGAACTGACAAAAGAACAATAACTATAATGTTACATTCACAAAGAGCTAACGTGGGAGTCAATTACCTAGTCTCATGTCACCTGAAGCCGCGGCGAACTCACCTGAAGCCGTGTAGAATGCTTCCGAAATTCTCCTTATGCGCGCCCATGAGGTGGAAGGCGGTGTAGCGGCCGGCAGCACTTGGCGCGCCCTTGGAGGTGTTAGCGGCATGGGAAGTATCGGCCACGGAGAGCACCTGAAACGGCTGCTGGCCGTTGTTCCAAATCCACCGTGCCCACCCCCGGGGAATCGCAAAGGCGTCTCCCTCCCTCAGCCGCCTGAACAGTGCAGAACCAGGGGACGCATGGCATGGAGCAGACAGAAACGGCTGCTGAGGTGGACGCAAACAGATGTAGGCGGAACAAGAAACGCAAGCGAGAGGGAAGGTTCGAGACAAAGAGTTGACTTGATGCACCGTTCCTACAGGTGACGGTGCTGATATGGGGTCCCATGAGACAAAGGTTCTTAAGGCTACCTGAGATTCGTTGGTGCTCCCATGGGGCTGATAAGGCCTGCCATAGCCTCGCCCTTCAACACGTAATAGGCCTGATGAATACGCACAAGGCATGGTGAGAGAAGAAGGCACGTGAGAGAGGAATGCGGGGTGAGGGCACGGTGAGGGCACGGTGAGGGCACGGTGAGGGCACGGTGAGGGCACGGTGAGGGCACGGTGAGGGCACGGTGAGGGCACGGTGAGGGCACGGTGAGGGCACGGTGAGGGCACGGTGAGGGCACGGTGAGGGCACGCACCAGCAGAGCAAGTCTTCGAATCATCCAGTGACAAACCAGCACCAGCAGAGCAAGTCATGAAGCGGGAGAGAACAAAATCACAGAGAATATGTTGCTTTGCAATGGTACCTGCGGGGAGTTGGCATATAGTGGCAGCTCAAGGAACTGGCTCTGCACTGTTATCAGCGCCGCCGCCACATGCGCTTCCTGGAAGTATGGCAGGAAGAGAAAGGGACATATCACGAGTTCCCCTCAATTTGTCCAGCAAAGAAAAAAAAAAGAAAAATGACAAAGAAACAAGTACAGGCTTGGGTAAACAAACGAAGGCCAAGTTCCGCGACCACATAATCACAGGCAGATTGAGAGGCGTTGCCTGCTGCTGCCTGAAAGGCGTTCCCTCACTCACCTGCAGCTGCTTAAAATCTTCGTTCCACACCTCCACGCTCCCTCCGCTGCCCCGGACCCTCTCCCCGGGCTGCCCGGGAAGAAAATCCTGCTCCTGCTCCTTTGCGAAGGCACCCACCAGCAGCGCCACTAGCAGCGTCGCGAGCAGCGACCCCAGCAGCGCCAGCACAATCTCGAGCCTCCCCATGCTAGCTCGGCTCGGCCCACTACCGCCGTTCAAGAAGCCCCAGCCCGAGTGCAAGGCGGTCGCAGAAAAAACCAGCCCGACTAGTTCGGCCCACGCCTTGCTGCTCACGCCTTCCTGCCCACTACCGCTGTTCAAGAAGCCTCAGGCTGAGCACAAGGCGGTCGCAGAGAGAACAGCTCAACCACTCGATCGATGAATAAAAAAAAATGGCGCGAATTTCTCACGCAAGCGTCATCAGAATCGCTACGAAAAAGACTCCTTCCTCAAAGCGCTACAGGGTATTCCTTAGACTTCTTAAAGGATGATGGCCGGATGGATTCGCTACGAGCAAGACGCCGACCCGAAAGCCGCGCTAGGGGATGTAGACGCACGCGAGTCGAGCGTGGTGAGGAGGCGGCGCGAATCAAGTCTTATCAAGTCGAGCGTGGTCCGTCCGTCCGTCCGACTCGCTCACGGCGGACGACCTCGGGTTTCCGCCGCCATCGCCGCAGCGGAACCCGCGCAGCGGCGGGGCGGCCTCTTCGCATCCGTCCATGCAGCCCCGCGTCGACTCGCCGGCGATGCGCGCCGGGTCCGCTCCTCTCCATCTCGCCATGCGGAGGCATCTCCATACCAGCACGCCCGCCGGTCATGTGACACAATAACATGTAGAGGCTGGTATGAAAGCATGTAACATGAAGGTATGTAGAGGCTGGTATGACAGAGGCGTGTGGTGCGGAGGAATGCCTGGCGGCATGGATTGAGATGCGCGTGGAGGCACATCAAGAAACAAACTAACAGAATTGCATACGAACAAGAGTGGAAAAAATCAGTAAAGATTGTCCTCATTTTATCTTTCGTTACAAGTGCCTGAAAAGCCACAAAATCAGCCCCAGACAACTAGATAACAGCTCAGCTTTCCAAACCGTGACAGCAGCCTAACACATTATTGTTCACCCCAAGATTGGTGTAGCTGAAGCATCACCACTTCTTAATCAGCTGTACCTGCAAGTGTCCCCTGTAACTGTAACCTGCACTCATAACGAAACACTTACCCACCCGCCATCCATGCATAGCCATCTAACGGATGCTAGCCTTCATCGCATCAAAGCCCTCAACCCAGCTGCAAGCATCACCACTTCTTAATCAAATGTAGCTAGCGGCAAGTATACCCTGTAGCCTGCACTCCAGAAATCCTGTCAACCCCCAGACACAACCATCAAGCGGATGCTAACCATCATCACCGCATCAAACCCCTCGTGATCCCAGCAGCCTTCTCATCCCAGCTGTTGTCTTGTCTTGATAACGCTCTTGAGCGCCGTGAGCCACACGCCACACTCCTCCCAGTCCTTGGTCGTCAGATCCACCTGTCGTTGAGTGAGCAAGTGAAGAGGAGGGAGGTGTGAGAGGGGGGAGGGGGAGCGGTAAGGGAGGGGAGCGCATGTGTGTGTTTTTTCATGCTGGAAGGAGGGGATATGTGTCTGTGCGTGTGTATACGCTGGGGGAGAAAAATGTGAGTGGTCTTGTCAAAGTGCAACACCTCACATATATCCATCCACCTCTTACCACCGCTCTCCACCCACCTGGATGTGCAGAGCAGTGGCATAGTCCCCGGCATCCAGAGCAGCACAGAGTGGCCCCAGCTTGCCAGCTACGGAGGGCGACACATCGCGCTGGTTGAGGCGCTGCAGCAGCAGCCCGAGCTTCTTGCTGTTGGCGTCCATCTCCCTCTTCTTCCCCGCATTGCCCTGCGCCGCCACCGCCGCTGCCACCTCCTTGTACACCCTCCCCAGCGTGCCTGCCACTGGGCGCAGCTCAGCTGGGGCGAGAGGGAGAGAGGGGGAGAGAGGGAGAGAGGGGGAGAGGGGAGGGAGAGCAGCACACACCCGGTTCAAGAGCTATCAATAGCCAGCTTGTCTCAAAGAAGCACACTCACGGGCCACGCCGTGGAGGGGGTGGGGGGGGAGAAGGAGAGACGAGAGAGGGCCGGCAAAGCAGCACATTCACAGGGCACGTTGTGGGAGGGAGGGTGGGGAGGGGGATGAAAGACGAGAGAGGGCATGCAAAGCAGCACATCCGGTTTTTTCGAAACCCAGCTTGTCTCAAAGCAGGGAGATCTGAGAAAGCAGGCAGGGAGGCACACTCTTGGGCCAAATCGTGTGGGGGAGGAGGGGAAGACGAGAGGCGAGAGACGAGAGAGGCGGGCTGGCAATAAAAAAAGAAAACTCACGGGCCACGTTGGAGGTGTCGGCTGTTTGCACCGTGGGCGGCGGGGCGGGCGGCGCAGCCTCGGGAGCAGCGGGGGCGGGTGCAGCCGCAGCAGGAGCAGCAGCAGCAGCCCCAGGCGGACCCACAGCAGCAACACCAGGGGGGCGCACGCCAGGAGGGGGACCAGTGGGGCGCATCATGGGGGCAGCGCCAGGGGGGGGAACCCCGGGGGGAAGCACCCCAGGGGGGGGTGCGCCAGGGGGGAAGACTCCAGGGGGAGGGGCGGTGGGGGCCATGCCGGGAGGGGGGCCGGTGGGCATGCGGTGGGCAGGAGGGGGAGCTACTGGGGTGAAGGCCACTGGGCGGGGTCCCTGTGCTGCCCGTGCTGCTGGTGGCGGCTGCGTGGGCATCATCATTCCCGGCTGATGGGGGGAGGTGGGGTGGTGGTTGGGAGGGGAGGGGAGGGGAGGGGAGGGGTGGGGGGGGGAGAAGTGTTGGTTGGAAAGGTTGGGTTGAAGGCTATGGGGCGGGGTCCCTGTGCTGCCCGTGCTACTGGTGGCGGCTGCGAGGACATCATCGTTCCCGGCTGATGGGGGGAGGTGGAGGTTGGAAGGGATTAGGAGGAGTGTGGGTTGGTTGGGAAGGAGGACGTGAAGGACGAGAGAAAATACAAGCAATTGGTTAAGAGCGGTGAGAATGGGGGAAGATGGAGTGGGACGGAAAGACTTACTGGAGGGCCGGAGGGCATGTGATGTGTGGATGGAGGCGGGGCGGCCACAGGCGGGGGAGCAACAGGCATGAAGGACGGCTGGGGAGGGGTGGTAAGGATAAGAACAGAAGCAAGCACAGCAACAGGGGTTTAGGGCAAGAGAGAGATAAGCAGAGGAAACGAAGTGCATGAGAAGAATCGAGCCCCAAACCCCTGAGCTGGTAAGGAGTACCGACACTCAGTCCAGAAAATCACCTGCAGCTGTGACTTTCGCACGCTCCCTCCCTGCGCTACTACCCCAGCAGCAGGTGAGCAGAGGGCAGAAGCACAGCAAACCACATAGATGTATTGTCATGGCAGGAGCTCACCTGTGCGCCTGGTGCTGCCTGCCCTGCTGCCATGGGCTGCATGGGCTGCATGGGTGGGGGGTGCTGCGGCATGGCCACACCCGGGGGCGGTGCAGTGGGCATGAACATGTGTGGCCTTGCTCCTTGCTGCTGCTGCTGCTGCTGCTGCTGCTGCTGCTGCTGCTGCTGCTGCTGCTGCTGCTGTTGATACTGCTGCTGCTGCACCTGCTGCTGTTGCTGTTGCTGTTGATACTGCTGCTGCTGCTGCTGCTGCTGCTGCTGCTGCTGCTGCAGTTGCTGCTGCTGTGCATAGGACTGAGCAGGAGGAGCAACGGGCTGAGGCTGATATGTGGATGCATAGGAGGTTTGCGGATGCCGTTGCTGGGGCTGATGCTGCTGCGGCGGCTGCTGCGGGCGAGGTGGGGTGTGTGTGATCGGCTGCTGTGGCTGCTGCGGGGCCGCCTGGGCAGGTGCTGGTGACTGAAGATGGAAAACGGAGAGGTGCGAATCGTGATCAGGACATGGAAATGGGAGACAGCGGAAGGAAGAGAGGAGAGCGGAGCACGGGAAGGGGAGAACGGGGAAGGGTGAGGGGAGAACGGAAATCGGAAAAGGGAGGAAGGAAAAGGGACACCAGACAAAAAAGGCTAACAGCTTACTAGGGGTGTAGAGCTGGTACTAAGAAGAGTGAGCATAAGCAGCAGTATCTGCTGACTAACAGACGGCGGCGGCGGCGGCGGCGGCGGCGGCGGCGGCAGCAGCAGCAGCATTGTGGCCAGTTTTTGAGTCGACTAAAAAATAAGCAGCAGCATCTGCTGCCTAACAGACAGCAGCAGCAGCATTGTGGGCAACAACAAATGCCGGGCAGGAGATGAGGCAGGTACATGCCTGATAGTACGAAGGCTGAGCAGGCGCAACAGCAAATGCTGATTGCTGTGTGGCATACGGCTTGGCAGCAGCAGCAGCAGCAGTGGTGGTGGTGGTGGAGCCAACAGGCACATCGACAGACGTGAAGGGGAAGGGCGGGGCCGGCTGTGAGGGGTCCACGACAACTGCGGTGAGTGGCATGGCATGGACGAGGCAAGGAGTTTGGTGAGTGAACTGAATGCACAAGAGGATGCAATGCAAATGTGGCGCTCTGGTTCTGATCTCCCACCAATGAGGTGGTTTTTGAGGCGCCGCCTCAAAAACCACCTCCAAGACAGGGTTCTGATCTCCCACCAATCTGCAGCGATTGGACCTCCCCATCCCCCTCGTAAGGCACACACACAGATGAACACTGTCCTAAGGCCACACACACACACACGCACCCAACCACCCACCCACCACACACAGGGGCACCCACCCACCCAAACACACACACACACACACCCACACACATGCACCCACCCACCCAAACACACACACACATACACACACACACACATGCACCCACCCACCCAAACACACACACACACACACACACACACACACACACACATGCACCCACCCACCCAAACACACACACACACACACACACATGCATCCACCCACCCAAACACACACACACACACACATGCACCCACCCATCCATACACACACACACACACACACACACACACACACACACACACACATGCACCCACCCACCCCCACCCAAACAAACACACACACACACGCACGCACGCACACACACACACACACACACACACACACACACACACACACACACACACACACACACACACACACACACACACAGACAGCAGCAACCCACCGAGTCCGCTGCGGTAGATGCGCTCCTTCAAGGCAGCAGCAGCCGTGGCAGCCTCGGCCACACTCGGGTCATTCACACTCTCCTCCCACGGAGGCAGAAGAGACAACAGATGCTGTGCCGCCGCCGCCCGGCCCTGGGCCGCCAGTACCGTTGCGTACTCTGAGACGAGCGACGCCGCCCACCTGCCGCCGACCCTGCTTTGTCCTGTAGCCAAGCCCAGCACCACTGCCTTCTCAATAAGATCCTGGATTTGATCGAGGAAATAAAAAGGGAGAAAGGGGGGAAAAGGGGGAGGGGGGGGGGGGGAATGGAGGCAGCAAAAGTAGTTACGATCTACACCTTGTACTTACAATGACCCTTCTTCCCATTCCAATCCGCTGCTTCTAGCACCACTTCAGCTTAAAACTCATCTGAAGGTGCGGCAGAGCTGGAATAATTGTTCTGGCAACCGGGGTGGGGCCAAAACGTTGACCTTTGACTGCCACGGATGACAGAACACCCACACAAGGACACTAGACTCTAGACTTTGCAGGTGCAGCAAGGGTGGGGAGGCCTGGGAAGGCTGTTCGTGCAGCAGGGTGGAGGCCCAGTTGTCCACCACTCGGTCAATGGATCCCGCACACATGAAGCACAGCGTAGCCCTGGCGCCTCAAAAGCCATCCATGCATAGTAGTCCCTAGAGCGAACTCACTTGCAGGTGCGGCAGGGGCGGGGACCCCTGTGAGGGCTGCAGGCGGGAGGCCCAGATGTCGACGACTCGGTCAATGGAGCCCGCACACATGAAGCACAGCGTTGCCGCCTGCCACTGCCCCGCCGCTTCGAGCCGTGCTGCCAGCTCGTCACACAACACGGACCACTCGTGGCTTGGCGCATACTGTGAGAAGGGAAGGGGGTGGTGACACGAATGGTGAAAAGGGAAAGAGTGGGCGAATGGAAAGGGGTGCTTCCAACCGCGCTGCCAGCTCGTCACACAACACCGACCACTTGTGGCTCGGTGCGTACTGTGGGCGCAGGGGAGGAGTGGGGGGGGGGGGGGGGGGGAAGTTGAGACGTCCTAGAAGAAAAGAAAAACAGCGTTGCCGCCTGCCACTGCCCCGGTGCCTCCAGCCGTGCTGCCAGCTCATCACACAACACTGACCACTCATGGCTTGGCGCGTACTGTGAGGGCAGGGGCGGGAGGAAGAGTGGAGAGGAGAAGGGAGGTGGAGTGGAACGGATGGAGAAGAGGCGAGGAGAGTGGGAGAATGGGAAGGGGGGGCACGGAGCAGTCATGTATTCTGTGCAACAGTGCGAGGAGAGAAGCAGCTACCAGAGAGAAAAGAGAGTGTGCAATGAAGGTCAGAATTTAATCAGCAAGAGGAGAATGAGGGGCTGACAGTGCAGCGCATGGCTTACAGTGCAGCGCATGGCTGACAGTGCAGCGCATGGCTTACAGTGCAGCGCATGGCTGACAGTGCAGCGCATGGCTTACAGTGCAGCGCATGGCTTACAGTGCAGCGCATGGCTTACAGTGCAGCGCATGGCTTACAGTGCAGCGCATGGCTTACAGTGCAGCGCATGGCTTACAGTGCAGCGCATGGCTTACAGTGCAGCGCATGGCTTACAGTGCAGCGCATGGCTTACAGTGCAGCGCATGGCTGACAGTGCAGCGCATGGCTTACAGTGCAGCGCATGGCTGACAGTGCAGCGCATGGCTTACAGTGCAGCGCATGGCTTACAGTGCAGCGCATGGCTTACAGTGCAGCGCATGGCTTACAGTGCAGCGCATGGCTTACAGTGCAGCGCATGGCTTACAGTGCAGCGCATGGCTTACAGTGCAGCGCATGGCTTACAGTGCAGCGCATGGCTTACAGTGCAGCGCATGGCTTACAGTGCAGCGCATGGCTTACAGTGCAGCGCATGGCTTACAGTGCAGCGCATGGCTTACAGTGCAGCGCATGGCTTACAGTGCAGCGCATGGCTTACAGTGCAGCGCATGGCTTACAGTGCAGCGCATGGCTTACAGTGCAGCGCATGGCTTACAGTGCAGCGCATGGCTTACAGTGCAGCGCATGGCTTACAGTGCAGCGCATGGCTTACAGTGCAGCGCATGGCTTACAGTGCAGCGCATGGCTTACAGTGCAGCGCATGGCTTACAGTGCAGCGCATGGCTTACAGTGCAGCGCATGGCTTACAGTGCAGCGCATGGCTTACAGTGCAGCGCATGGCTTACAGTGCAGCGCATGGCTTACAGTGCAGCGCATGGCTTACAGTGCAGCGCATGGCTTACAGTGCAGCGCATGGCTTACAGTGCAGCGCATGGCTTACAGTGCAGCGCATGGCTTACAGTGCAGCGCATGGCTTACAGTGCAGAGCATGGCTTACAGTGCAGCGCATGGCTTACAGTGCAGCGCATGGCTTACAGTGCAGCGCATGGCTTACAGTGCAGCGCATGGCTTACAGTGCAGCGCATGGCTTACAGTGCAGCGCATGGCTTACAGTGCAGAGCATGGCTTACAGTGCAGCGCATGGCTTACAGTGCAGAGCATGGCGAGTGTTTCCCGCCAGTCAGAGAGCGGCTGTGACGCCACGAGCCCTCTGATGTCACTCGCCACCACCGCTCCCAGCAGCTGTGGACCAAGATAGGGTGGAAGGGGGTGGAGGGGAGGAGAGGGGACGAGGGTTAAAGCATGGGAAAGAGGGTTGAAGGAGGCTGTGACGCCACGAGCCCTCTGATGCCGCTCGCCACCACCGCTCCCAGTAGCTGCATCTCCACCACATGGGGGGAGGGAGGGGGAGCGGAGAGGGGGGGTGGGAAGTGGAAACGAACGAGGGTTAAGAATGGGAAGGAGGGAAAAGGGCTGCGATGCCACGAGCCCTCTAATGTCACTCGAGCACACGAGCCTCAGCACACTAGCGGCATTAGAGGGCTCGTGGCGTCGCAGCCCAGCAGCTGTGATTGCTGCCAGGGATGGGCGTGTGCAGGCACAACGGTGTGGAGATGGGGAGAGGAGAAGAGCTGGTGGCAAACGGGAGAACGGGATGAGGGGATTGATGTGCCTGGGTGCAAGGGAGGAAGAAAGAAGAGGCACACACAGAGCAGCCCTCGCTGCGTCTAGCAGAACAGAAACCACAAGGGAGGCTAGAGCTGCGTGAAATTGGGCTGGGGTGACAGGACGAGGGGGGGGGCCTTGTGCAGGCCTGGGACCGAGTCAAAGTTGGAAGCATTGTGATAGCCTTGGGGCTGTTCACAGTATCATAGCCACTACTCAGAGCACATGGCAACCTCTCAAAAGCCACAAGGCGCCCACGACAGCCAGCCCACGCACCTTGAGAAAAGAGCGGCGGCGGTTGCGGCGGAGGTACCAGCGCTGGGTGCGTGCCCAGAGGTCCGAGTTGAACCCCGCCACTGCTGCCAGCACGAGCGCATCCGCCACCCTGCCCGCCGCCAGACACCTCTCCACTGCCGCCTCATAGTTCCCCACCACCAGCGCCCTCTGCACCTCGCCCTCCCACTCCCCGCCTCCCTCCTCCCCCTCTTCCTCGTCATCTTCCTCCTCCTCCTCCGCCTCCCCCTCCCCTGCTGCTTCCCCGGTGATCTCGCCGTTCTCTCCCGGAGCTTCCCCTGCTGTGGCTGCAGCAGCAGCAGCAGCAGCAGCAGCGTTGGGAGTGGTGCTGCCAGCGAGATCGTCAAAGAAGTCAACGTCGCCCGTGGCGGACGGAATTCCATCCAGCCCTGTTCCCGTCCCCGCCACAACCCCCCCTCCTTCCCCACCAGCACCGTCAAGAGACAGACCTCCCACTCCTGCTGCCGCCGCCTCTGCTCCCGCCTCTCCCGCCGCGGCCTCTGCTGCTGCTGCTTCGGCTTCAGCAGCAGCGGCGGCAGCGGCAGCAGGGTCTTCGGCGGGGGGCAGGGTGGGGTTGGGGATGTGGATGGGCGGGAAGTCGAGATGTGCCAGCAGCTTGCGCCGGGCATCGTCTTCAAAGAGCACTGTGAGGAAGTCCCACGTCTCCCTGTCCTCTGGGGCACTGGGGAGGGCGAGAAAGAGTGGTGGGAAAGAGAGTGGTGGGAGAGAGGAGTAGGAGAAGAGTGTCACACACGGACCCAAAATCGGTTAACTCACAAACAAACGCGCTCCGCCATGCAAGAGAGTATAGTGTCATCCGCCCCTCCCACCCCCTTCCCCCCTTGCCACCACCATCACCATCATAATGAACCCCATCACCATCACCACCCCCAGCGCACGCCAGCGCCACTCACGTGGCGAGCTGCGCCTTGTGTTGGCAGAAGGCTTTGAGATTCTCCCTGTCGCCGCCCGCCACGGCAGCCTCAAACTCGTCAGCGCGGGCCACCACGCCCTCCTCCGTCACCACACTGTGCACCGCCACCTGCGCCCCATGCCCTGCTTGCCCCACCTTGCTTCCAAAGCACAGCAGCCGCCCGCCAAAGCCAAAGGTTGCTCCGCACGGCCGCTTCAACCACTTGGGCGCGCGGGATGTTGCTGGAGGGGAGGGGGGGGGGGGGGAGGAAGGAGGGGAGGGCGGGAAGAGCAGGAAGTGATAGAGGGGTTTCCTCAGCAGTAAAAGAGGGCAGACAGTGGCTGCATGGCACGGCACATCACAATCATCGCAGGTAGAGATTTGTCAATGTGGCACATGACAGCGGCATGGATGACGTGGCATGGCATGGCACAGTCAGAACGAGGTACGTACCCATGGGCGTTCTGTTGGCGAGCGACGCGCCAAAGTCTGACTCCTTGCTGCTAGCCGACTGCTTGGGAAAGGCGGGAGCAGAACGCAAAGGAGGGAGCAAGGAAAAAAAAAAAAAAAAGGGAGATGTGGGTGGGGCATGGGGGGAATAGGGAAAGGGAGGGGGAAGGGCGGACACAAGAACATCTGGTATAGTCTATAGACGAAGGGCAACATCTGGTATAGTCTATAGAAGAAGGGCAACATCTGGTATAGTCTACAGAAGAAGGGCAACATCTGGTATAGTCTATAGAAGAAGGGCAATATCTGGTATAGTCTATAGAAGAAGGGCAACATCTGGCGGACAAGAAGGTTGCCAGTGGCGTATGGGCAGGGAAGGGCGATTGGGAGAACGATTGAGACACCGTCACAAAAAGGGTAGAGAAACGCGGAAGAAGCATGACACACCTCGATGTTGTACAGGGAGACGTGGGCGTCGAAGCAGGATGCGGAGAGCAGGCCTGGCACCCGTGGCGACCAAATAAGCTCACGCATGAATGCTGCGAAGCAACTTACCTTGATGTTGTAGAGCGAGAGACGCACCTCGATGTTGTAGAGCGAGACGTGGCCGTCGAAGCAGGAGGCGGAGAGCAGCCCTGGCACCCGTGGCGACCACTGCAGGTCGAAGTTCCAGTTGGTGCCCGCCGGTAGCTCGCACAACACCTGAAGGGGTGGGGGTGGGTGGGGAGGAGAAAGGGGTTTGAGTCAACTCAAACACATTCTGGGTTGACCCAAAGCACCCGTGGCGACCACTGCAGGTCGAAGTTCCAGTTGGTACCCGCCGGTAGCTCGCACAACACCTGGTGGAGAGGGGGGGGAGGTAAGGGAGGGTGGAAGGGGGTAGAGGGAGGGGGGGGTGGGGGAAAGGGAGAAGAAGGAACACTGCAGGTCGATGTTCCAGGTAGTGCCCACCGGTAGCTCGCACAGCGACTGGAAGTGGGGGGGACGAGAGGAGGGGAGTGGAGTTAGGCAAGAGATGTGGAGGAAACAAGGAGAAGAGGAGGAAAGGATTCGGAACTTTGAAAAGAGAGTATGGCCGTCATTGGCGCATGGAAGCAGCAAAGCAGAGTCGACACATAGTCGATCTACATGCCATCATTGAGGTGTGTTTTGAGGCGCCTCAAAACACATCTCAATGCACGCGGAGTCGCTACATAGTCGGTCTACATGCCATCTTCAAGCACATTAGACACGCATGCCATCTTCAAGCACATTAGACACGCATGCCATCTTCAAGCACATTAGACACGCATGCCATCTTCAAGCACATTAGACACGCATGCCATCTTCAAGCACATTAGACACGCATGCCATCTTCAAGCACATTAGACACGCATGTCATCTTCAAGCACATTAGACACGCATGTCATCTTCAAGCACATTAGACAGCATGCTCAGCGCTCACCTCCCCAACAGACGTGTCCCAGCAGAGGGTGCGGTTGTCCTTGGCGCACGAGAGCAACAGCCCGCTGTCACTGGGACACCATGCCATGGCCAACACTCCTGTGGAGCAGCGGCACGATGGACAGGGGGGAAGAGATGCACATTGTTACGTGATATCTACTGTGTGCGAGGCGCCTCAACAGCAACAGCCCGCTGTCACTGGGACACCACGCCATGGCCAACACTCCTGTGGGGCAGCGGCACGATGGACAGGGGGGAAGAGATGCACATTGTTACGTGATATCTACTGTGTGCGAGGCGCCTCAACAGCAACAGCCCGCTGTCACTGGGACACCACGCCATGGCCAACACTCCTGTGGGGCAGCGGCACGATGGACAGGGGGGACGAGATGCACATTGTTACGTGATATCTACTGTGTGCGAGGCGCCTCAACAGCAACAGCCCGCTGTCACTGGGACACCACGCCATGGCCAACACTCCTGTGGGGCAGCGGCACGATGGACAGGGGGGAAGAGATGCACATTGTTACGTGATATCTACTGTGTGCGAGGCGCCTCAACAGCAACAGCCCGCTGTCACTGGGACACCATGCCATGGCCAACACTCCTGTGGGGCAGCGCAGTCAACAGGGAAAGAGACAGCACCGTGAGTCATCTGCCCATTCAATTTCTGTTAAACTGCCACAAAATAAGTTTGGAGTCAAAGCCAAAGCACATCCATCCCGCGTTTGGAGACAATACCTGCACAGAGCATGGCAATTTTGCTCACCTGCCCACCCGCCCATTCTAGCTACAGCAAATCGCACCTTCGGTGTGCGAGGTGAGATCCTTCACGTGAAAAAAGGTTGGTATGAGACGTCTCAGAACACAGTATAAGTTCGGACCCCACCCAAGAGCGCACCCATCCTGCCTGTGTCAGGTGGGTTCTAGCTACAACAAGTCGCACCTTTGGTGTGCGAGGTGAGCTCCTTCACAGGCGACATGGCGTTGCGCAGATCCCAAACCTGCTCACAGGGGGGGGGGAAGAGGGGGAGGGGGGGGGGGGCGGGGGGTGAAGGGGGAGGAACAGAAAGAGAGGAGAGGAGGGGTGGCGGCGGCAAGCCGGAATGGATAAGGACGAGAGCAATCAAGAGTCACACTTGATAGACGGTGGATAGAAGGAAGGAACGCAGGCAAGTGAAAGGGCACCGTACCTGGAGGGAGGGCGAGCGGTCGTCATCAGAGGCAACGATGAGCTGTGTGGCTATCTCGGGGTTCCACTGCAGACACGAGCAGCGCCTCCTGCTCACTGGATCCGCGAAGCTGCCGTGGCGGGCGCAGGGAAAGGGGAAGTGAAGGACCGTGGGCATGGTGAGGTTGGGTGGGCAGAGGGCGGATTGATTTTGAGGCGCCTCAAAATGCACCTCACTACACGCGGATTTTGAGGCGCCTCAAAATGCACCTCACTACACGCGGATTTTGAGGTGCCTCAAAATGCAGGGAAAGGGGAAGTGAAGGACCGTGGGTATGGTGAGGTTGGGTGGGCAGAGGGCGGATTGAGGGCGGCAGTGGAAGCCAGGAGGCCAGAACACGGGATGGTGCAGAGCAAGGGACGGAGAAGGGGGAGTAGGGGGAGAAGCGAGGAGGGACGAGAGGGGGATAGACCAATAGAGGGATCAAAGACGAGATAGGAAGGAGCGGGGAATGCACCTGATGACCTGCTTTTGCTTGCGGAGATCCCAGACGACTGCAGAAATGAGGGGATGGGAAGAATTAATGGGAGGGAGGAACGGAGGAGTGGAGGAGGCAAGGAGACGTCACTTCAGAGAATTCTCAAGAAAGGAAATGTCAGGACTCAGGGGTATGCATGGCCGGTTGAATGCGGTGGAGAGTGAGCGTGAACGCGGTAGGCCAGCTGATATGAGGTTGATGTGTGCGTAAGGGAGGTTGGGTCATGGGGGGATAGGAGAGATCACAGTGGCAGGCAGAGATGACAACCCCACATGCAGCACGCACCGGAGAGGCCGCTGTAGGAGGTGGTAGCGACGATGTGCTGCACCTTGCGGTTCCACGCCAGACACGATATCTCCCCCTGTGGGCCTCCTCCCGCTCCCTGCTCCAACCACACACGGCCACGCCCACAGCACAGCAGGGAGGGCATACAACATCAACATCAAAAAGTGTGGGAGACTAAGTGAGGGGCAGATTGAGAGAGCGGAGAGGGTAATAAGCAAGCAGACCACACGGACCTTGAGCGAGGGGTAGAGCGAGGGCGCGGACGGGTTGGCGAGGTCCCAGATGCAGAGCTCTCCGTCCTCCGCGCCTGACGCCAGCAAATTGGGCGCCGCTGGGTTGAACTCCAACCCGCGCACCTGCCATCACAAGCCAAGCCACGCCCACGCCATGCCGAGCCAAGCCATGCCACACCATGGCAAGCCGTATCAAGAGGTGTTAAGCCGTGTCAACCCGTGCCAAGCTGTGCCAAGCCGTGCCAAGACGTGCCAACCAACCAGGCTCTGCCGGGTCGTCACTGCAGGAATACTTGCGGTAGATAGGACACGGTACAGTGAGCTTTTTGTACATGGCACAGAGTGCATGCGACGGGAATACTCGAGATGATGTGATGGTTGGAGTGAGTGATCAAGAGTGCGGTCACTGGTTGGATATGAGGTGTTTCGGGATGCGCAGCTCAAGCAAAGGACGTGGTTTTCCTTTAGAAGATCGAGGGACAGAATAGGTAAAGGCGCTGCTTCGACTGTCCGTATCGTTCGCACCGCACAGAACCGCTCTCTACCACTCTTGTCAGCCTGTGTGAGTCGTGTGACTTCCCTTGTGTTTGTCGCTCCTGCCCTGTGCAGAGCGAACCAGCCCTCGTTCCCCAACACTTCACAGTACGTTCTCAACTACCGCCCTTTCACGCTCACTCCTCAACCTCGTTCGCGATCGTCACGCACCGCCCACTTGTGCGCCACTCACCGCGCCCTTGTGCGCCACTCACCACGCCCTTGTGCGCCACTCACCGCGCCCTTGTGCGCCACTCACCGCGCCCTTGTGCGCCACTCACCGCGCCCTTGTGCTTGGACATCTTGGCGACGAGAGCTCCCTCTCCCTCGCCCGTCTTGCCGCTGCCACTCCAGCAACCGCAAGCATCGAAACGACAATGACACACAATAGCTTGTCAGCAAACACGAGCAAGAATCAACTCCGATTTCTGACCCAGCATAGCCTTCTGCATCATCGGAATAATCACTGCAAATAAGACGAAACATTTCGAGCAGTATAGCGCCTCAAACATCGCACGAAATGCCGCAATTTGCGTGAACGAACCACACTTGAAAATCCTAGCGCCGTCAGACCCAACGACCCAGGACACATGCCTGATAAGTCATGCGGGCACCACGGCTCACACGCATTTCAATCGACTCAAAAACCGGTCTGATTCCACGCGGCGCCACGATGCGAGGCACCACGCATCGCATGCGCTGCGTCCTGCATGCTAATGCCCGCACGCGCCATACCTAATGATGCGCGCGGGGTTCCAGAGCGCGACGGTGCCATCAATCAGGCCGCCCGCGATGATGCCGTGGCTGAACACCTCCGACTGCTCCACGCCGCACGATCCCCACGACAGCCGATTGAACCGATCGCTCGCCGTCGCCGCCCCCAGCGACGGCAGATCCGACCGCCCGCCCCCCGCTCCCGCGCTTCCCGGCACTCCGCCAGCCGCCTTGCCTCCGGATTGGTCAGGGCTGCCCAGCCCGCCAAAAAAATCGTCCGGTGACACGTCAGCGGCGTTTCCGAAGGTTCCGGCCGGGCTGACGCCAGCGCCGGAGGAGGCGGCAGATGCGGCGGGATTGTCGGCGGATGCGGTGGTGGATGCGAACTCGAGGCGGAAGATCTCGAGGCAGGCGGAGGAGGAGAAGGAGAGATCGATGGCTCCCGCCATAGTCCCCATCGCTATAAGCGGCTCCGTGGGCGCGAAGGCCACGGTGGCCGATCGATGCACCTCGCACAACGCCATCTTGGCGGCTTAATGCGATCGACTCTTCCGGAGGTCTGACGATGATTGGTCAAGTAGCTGGCGGACCAGCGGATATGACAAGAACGAGAATTTCTCCGAATTTCAACACCACGCAGTCGGATCTCGTCGGATCAAGCCACGGAATAACGAACACACGACGCTTCCAGCGCTTCGACCCCGCACGCTTCGAGAGCGTGCGCGACGGAGTGCCGCTGTTTACTAACTAGTAGCCTGGGACCAACCACCTCGCTGGGTCACTAATCCAAAATTACCTAGAGACTGGCGAGCCAGATCCCTACATTTGACGATCCGTCGCTGCTGATTGGTGAATCGCTGCAACATTTGTTGGTGCGGGGGTGGTGAGATTTGTGTCGGGCGGAAGGGAAAACCCAAGAGGAAGGACTCCGCTGTGCTGCTGATACAGAGCATTAGGCAAAGCACTACACTTGATTGCTACGTATTACGAAGAATTTGATTTCTGATTTAAAGAAATTTGAGAAACAAATCGATATATACATAACACGTGATAATTATGCTCGGAATGTTTATGTATATATATAATCCTTTTTTTCAACGCATTTTATGGTGTTTGGCACTAGTTCAAGGTGCCACGCCCTCACACAGCAAGCAGGATATTGAAGGGCATATTGGTTTGCTGATATTCACTACCTATGATACGTTAATTTACTTTTGAAAGTTGTGTTCCAGGTTTCACCGTAGAGGACCACGCGAACAGCATTTCCACCGTTTCCGACGCACCGATGTTCTCAAACCCTCTGTCGATGGGGTTAGCGCCTGCAGAGCTCTAAATTAGTTCCCACGTTCCTCCCTGCTCCCATCTTGCCTGGGGTTCACCTTTCTCGCCCTTCAGCCATTAGACCTCTCAAATTTGCCCATATAGGCGTCCTTGTTCCAGGCTTGTCTTTTTTGTGACAGGTTTTCCCTGCCTGCTTTATTCGTGCTGTGTTGCTCTGAGCGTCCTCTGAGATGGCTGACTGGAGGTATGACGCGGGCGATCGCTACGGCGATAGATACGCTGCCGATCGCGGACGGGGTGCTGGGACACCGCCAAACAGTGTTAAACGCCGTCGAGACTACGGTCAGATTTTACCTATACATCTCTGTTCGTTCCTTTCATAGTACGGCCGATTTGGCAAGCATGCATGCATTAAATTTTATTCCTCAAATTGCTGCTACTTTTCCGTGTCGCGTTACATTTCTGCGCTCCCCCTACCCAGAGTACGACGCGCCGCCTCCTGGCTCCGCAATGTACGGCGGGATCGGCGGTCCGCCAAGGGGGTCGGGAGCTCCGGGCTACGGCGCGCCTGGCGGATGGCGGGACGCCGACCCTGCGGGGCTCAGACGAGGCGATCTGGTGCGTGGCACTACTCGGGGATCTGGATCAGATGTGTCTGTGTGCCACCAGGGGATTACATGTGTCGCGGATGCGTCTCGTTGTCTGCCAATCTCGTTTGTCAGATGTGTCTTGTTGCACATCAAGACGTTAAATTTATTCAATTATTTAGCATTCTCGCCCTTTTTCTTCTCCGTTGCTGTCTGCAGAGCTCCATGGCACCACCAGGCCTGGCGCCACCTGGCACGCTCGGATTGGGCGGCATGGCGGACGACCATCTGGGCCCGCCTCCCCCCGGGTCGGGCATGCGAATGGACCTGGCGGGTCCGCCCATGCCGCGCGGGCCGGGGGGTCCGCCCATGCCCATGCCTGGGGGAATGGGCGCGCCAGGGGTTGGGCCGGGGGGGATGCCGCCAATGGACATGCATCCGGGGGACATGCCCATCCCGCACGACGCGTCCCCCACGCTATACATCGACAACCTGCCGCCCGACTGCTCGCGCCGCGAGGCCTGCCGTACGTTCTACGCTGTCTTGTCCCTCGCACCCTCCTGTCCCGCTGCATTCTGTGTCTGTGACCGTCCTTAGCTGACGTTTGACTGCTCGCCACAAGGCAGGGTCGCAACGAAGGTCTTCCCTCAAGGACTCCTGCCCTTGTACCCGGCCGAAAATCACCTTTCCCTCTCCGTGGCGTGCCTTCCACTCCTCCGTGCCCCTTCATTTTCTTCTCCTTCCCCTCCACCCCTTTTTTCGCCTTAGCTTCCCCTCTCCTCCGTCCCTCCGCGCCCTGTCCGTCCCCCCCGCGCAGACATATTCCGGCCGTTCATCGGCTTTAAGGAGGTGCGCCTTGTGCCCAAGGAAGTGCGCCGGGTACGTCGCGCCCCCTCTGGCTCTGTCCCGCTGGGCCTGCCCCCGGCTGTTGCACCCGCTGCCCCCTCTGTCTCCGCCCCCGCTGCTGTCCCCCGCTGCTGTCCCCCTCTTACCTTCAATCCCAACCCAACTACCCGACTCTGCAAAACATGCAAGACGGTTAACTGTCGTTGATTCCCTCTGCTGCGCCATTGTTCTAACGTCTGCGTGCTGCGTGGTGCGTCCTCCTGCAGGGCGGCGAGCCCGAGAAGCTCATCCTCTGCTTCGTCGACTTCGCCGACGCGCGCTGTGCTGCCACGGCGCTAGAAGCGCTGCAAGGTGGGGATTCCTGCAAGGTAGGGACGGCTGCAAGGTAGGGCGGTCAGGGCTGCTGCTCAGACGGTAAGGCTCTCATTTTTGAAGCGGTGTTCGTCTGGAAGCGTCTCCGATTTAGCGTAGCACTATCGCTCAGAAGTGGAGGCGCGTCAGCGAAGTTAGCAGATGGCTGTGGGCGAAGTTACGAAGCACAGCGACGTTTTTGTCGAATCATGTAGACCGCGACAGGAAAGGCGAGTCGTGGGTGCGAAGTGGTGGTCCTTCGAGGTTGGAAGTTTTCGGACGAGTTGTGGTTTAAGACCGATCCGATCTCCCTCCTCGAGTAGCTGGTCCCGACGCCGCATGTTTCCACCAGGTCTCGTCGAATTATAGGTGATCTCTAATCCAATTCGAGTGCGCCTCGTTCTAGCCTTCCTAGATCTATCGTAATGTCGATCTTTCTTACGAATATAACGCACGCTTCAGTCCAGCAGCTCCTGACAGCTGCTGCTGCTGTTGCAGCCGATACCTTGCGCACGCGTCCGTTCGTGCCACTTGTCTTCCCAGCGACTTGCGCGTGATTGCAGGCTAATGCTTATACGAGATGGGTTACAACGTACATGTTCGATGCTCGAACCTAGTCCCTCCCCCCCGGCGACCCGTTCACGCTCCCCTTGGCCTCGTAAACCCTGCAGGGTACCGTTTCGACGAGAACGATTACACGTCGCCGAACCTGCGAATCGATTTCGCCCGCCAGGGTCCACGCAGCCACCCGCGCGACGACTTCCGAAGAGACGACCGCGACTTTGGCCGCGGCGGCGGCGCTGGAGGGCCCCCTTTCCGCCCGCGCCGCTAGTCCGTAGCGCTTCAGACGCTAGTTTGCGCGACGGTCGCTGATTGCTAATGGGTTGTACGTGCGGCACGGTAGCGATTTCGGACGCGAATTGCCGTTTTGCAGCCGCCGTGACTTGTAAAGGTGGTGGTAATGATTCCGCGATTTTTGCAGGAGGCCCTGTTTCGCGGGTGTCAGCCGATTCATAGCGATTGTGTGTGCGCCTGTTGATTGTTACGCCGTTCGGCTACTGACTGTCCTGTAGCGACTTATATATCGAACTCAAAATAGGCGCTCCGATTTGCTCTCAGATCCCTCCTTGTGTCACATCTCCAAAACACCCCAACCCCCCCCCCCCCCCCCCCCCCCGTCGCACCCATTCCCCACTTACCCCCCTTCCTCCTTTGGAATAATACTGTCTCGAGAACATGCGCGTCGCACCTAGCTCCTCCAATCGCCTTGCTGCGCCCACATATGGGATTTTAGTTCAGTTGGACCGCCACTATTCGATAATCAAGCCAGGGGCTTGGCATCATCCCTAGCACCTTGTAGCACCGTTTGGCACCTCGTATCACCACGTCTGGCACCATAGGTGCGTTAATACGAAGTGTCCATCTCTCAAGAATCGCTCGATGATGCCTACGTGCCACTTTCAAATCAGGATGCTGATTAGCCTTACCTGATCTGCTAACGACCGTACTGTAGTATCCCTGGATGTCATTGTCACTCACCAGCCTGGTACGGCATTCCAGGCTGGGAGTGCCGAGGTTCAATAACCTGGAGCCCACTGACACACTTCAGTACCTGTGTTGTCATTGCTCAGTTGATTGATTGCTGCTTGGCTTGGGCTTGGGCTTCACAGGTTGGGGTGGTGATGGGTTTTGCCTGAAGGGTGTGGCATGGATGCATCTGTTGAGGGTGTTAGGGTTACACCAATGACAGTGCTGCATTGTTCTGGTTAGAGGATCTTCATGTGCATGCCATGTTGACAGCATTTGGTTCTAGTGCTGGCGTGCATGTTCACGGCCTTGCAATCTCCTGATCCTGCTGCAGTTTCCATGCTGCCTGACGCTACACCTACTTACAGTTTCCTAGCCATCTGGATTCTTTTGTTTCTTGTTGTAGATGCACATGTACAGGCCAAGGCTGAAAACCCTTTGACTGTATGAGGGCCAAGCCTACATCTGTTCACAATTTACTAGTCTTCTAAGCAAGGGATTCTAGTTGGGCTTGTATCCTAGTCAAGTGTATTGCTAGTAAAGAGAGATTTCCATTACTTCAGAAATTACATCAACCAAAATTAAAACGAGGTGCTCAGAGCTGTGGGGCAGGAATGCTGGCAAGGCAGGTCATTGCCGCTTGCCAGCATTCCTGCCCCCATGCTCAACATGGCACACAGGCACATACCGTACACACTTCACCACTACTCGCTTCAGCACCACCCACTCGCTCTACCCACTTCAGCAATACCCACTGGAGCACTACTCTCTGTCTCATGTTGAAGCAATGGCTATCACGGCAGCACCATCTCTCTCACATCTACCTTGCCAACCCAGCTCCGCCATATTACGCTGCTGCAGCAGCGGAGGGGATTTTGACGCCCATTAGCTGTCCACCCCAGATGACGCCAGACACACTGTTCCCAGCCAGCACAGCGTATCCGCTCACTGTGTTGTTCACGCCGTTGCCCGCCCCAGCACCTGGGAAACCACCTGAGAAGCCACCTGCAGGCGGCTGCTGCTGCCCGCCCTGCTGCTGCCCCCCCTGCTTGCCAGGGCCGCGGGCCATTGCGCTCAGCCCCATGCTCCTGCTGCCCTGCCCGCCACGCGCGCCCCCCGCGCCCCCAGCGCCCTTGCCGCCGCCGTTGCGCCCGCCGCGGCCGCCGCCGTTGGTGCGCGGAAGCGACGCGTTGGGGAGCACCGCGACCAGCGCCTCGACGGTGGTCGCGTCGGCGTTCTCGAGGAACGCGTCGAGGCGCGCCTCCGCGTGCAGCAGCCACCAGCCGGCGCGCTGCAGCCAATCGGAGGCGGCGAAGGGCAGCGAGAGCACGGCGGGGGCAGACGCGGCCGAGTCGCACACGGCGCCCTGCACGATCGCGATCGAGTCGGGCGGGCCGGCGGCGGCGTCGCCTCCGACGAGAAGCGCGTCGACGAGGAGGTTGTAGTTGCCCGTTGAGTTCCTGCGGGGACGAGCGGGGCGGGGGGGAGGGCGCGGGAGGCAAATATAGATGGGAGTATGGTAAGTGACGGGGCGACTTGTGACACGAGTGGGTCAGGAAAATAAACCGCCTGAGAATTTCTCTTGATTAATTTTCATTCTTCGTAGGGTTTCTTGGAGAAGAAGGTGACGGGGGTTATTCTTGAGGCGATCCTTACTTGAAGACGGTGAGGTGAAAGCGGGCGTCAACGAAGGTCGGGTCCGCGGAACAGTTTTTCAACTGCGCGCCAACGTCGGCCGTCAGATTTCCGACGACCGTCAGGTTCAGCGGAGGACCGCGCGGCTCCCCGCCAGGGCCGCCGCCAGGTCCGCCGCGCCCGATAGGGCCTCCGCCGCGCGGACCCCCTGGTGGGCCCCGACCGCCGGGTGGGCCTCCGCCAGGCGGGCCGCGCTGCGCGAAGGCGGATGTCACTGCGAGGAGCGTGAAGTAGACGAGAAGCAGTGTCTTGCAAGCCATGGCTGAGGTTGCGCGTAAGGAAACGTGGTTCGAGTGCGGTACGGAAACGAGTTTACTCAGTAGTGAAAAGTGACTTGTGACTTGAGTTGTTGGGAGGCTGGAGGTAAAGCTGGTGAACATTCATGTTTGAGCGACGGCTTTTTATAGCTTCTCGTTGTTTGCACTCAACGACGGGTCAACTCCACAGCAGTTTGTCCCTCAGGTACGGTGCCACACCTCGTTCCCTGAGTCGAGTATGTGATTGGTCCAGACAGTGTTACAGCTTGCCATACCTTTGAACAAGCTGGTTCGGTGTGCTGGAATGTACCATGGACGAGGTGTTGAATTGAAAATGCCCGAACGCCAGGCAAGGTTACGAGTCAGCGTACCTTCTGTGGAGAAAACAGCTGACTGCTACAAAGATGCGCTCTAGAGAAATGCAGTTCAGCGTACAATGAGATTTTTTTGTATAAATTTCGACGCATACTGTTATCCTACTTTGATATTTTCGCCTGTGGAGAATGACCGTTCAGCATATTTTATGGCCGTTCTTTCTCAGTGACGAAAACCGTGTCTTGCTGTTTTTAGGGTTGATTGGCATATCAGGGAGCTTCTGTGGTTTGATTTTACCATGTATGGGTTGAGTACGGTTCTATGTCTCTATTCAAGAATCGTGAACAATACTTGCTATCTGTTGAATTCCAGCAAATCCAGGTAGCCTGCAGCCAATAGTTCAGCAAGTAAAGTTCCGCTCAAATCGGCTGGATTGACGAGCTTCTAATCGATTTCTCTTTTTTGCCGGTCACGTCGTTCGCACTTTATTTCTCAACAATCTTGTCCGTGTATACTTCGTCGCTGCGATGGGCGTGGAGAGCGGGAAGAACGGCCTTGCGACGTATTACCGAGGAGCAATCGAGCAGATCGATGTCAACCTCCGAGAGAAGACCAAGAATCTTCGTCGGCTCGAGGCTCAGCGAAATGAGCTGAACGCCAAAGGTAGACTCGCGCTTTAAAGACTTGAGTTGAGACGCGTTGGAATCCAGACTACGTACAGATCGGTCTGAAAGGGTGTCTGAACTGGGTGTAATTTATTTCCTGTCCGACAAGTCACTGATCGTTTCTCGGATTCTTGGAATTCCAGATATGACTACGGTGAATTCGGTCAGAACGGGCGTTTTCACGCATCGTGAAGCCGGCTAAGTCACGAGTCTGATGCGTCAGCCACGATATCTGGATCTCGTGGCTAATCCGTTCAGCATGAGAGCAAAAGACATGCCAGTTCGTGTGTCCGTGCACTCCCTCGTCTAGAAGCCTCTATTATGTATTTGCGTGCAAACGTCTTTGCGTCCGTGTGTCCCGTCTCTCCCTGCCCCGCACCCCGCAATTGTGCTCGTTCTTCGTTTCTCCCTGTATTCTTTCCTGATTCCGCCCACCAACTGACCGTCCTTGATGCAATCATGTGGACCATCTTCCGTGCATCCGTTCAACCTTCCATTCCATCTATGTATGTGCATCTCATGCACCCATCCCTGTGCGTCAGTGCGGGCGAAGGAGCTGCAGCTGCTGCACTCGTGAGTGTACTGTGCTGTGTTGTTGCAACTGTTGCAACCTCCCATCCCATGCATGAACGCCTCCCCCCCCCATGGATCCACCCTCCGTGCGTGCAGTGCGGGCGCTGAAGGAGGAGCTGCAGCTGCTGCAGGAGCCAGGGTCGTACGTGGGCGAGGTGGTCAAGGTCATGGGCAAGACCAAGGTGCTCGTTAAGGTGCGTCCCCTTCCCGCCAGCACCTCATATATTGTCTAAGTTGACTCACAAGCCACCTGCTCGCCGTGCCTTTCAATGTATAACCTGTATGAAATGTCATTCGTTTACCCCACTTAGCCTGTTCTCCTTCTTTTAGGTCCCTTCTGGCCTTTCATCACCCCCACCATGTGCACCCGGATAGCTAGTACGTGGTGGGCGTGGCAGGGGGGCATTGACCGGAGTTTGTTGACTGCCGTATACGTTCTCAATCATTGTATGCCGCGCATCTCTATTCCTCTCCCCCAGGTGCACCCCGAGGGCAAGTACGTGATGGATGTAGACAAGGGCATCGACTCGAGTCTGTTGGTTCTCAGATTCAACTGGCTCGATGTATTATGAACGTCACCCTGACGATTCCCCCCTCGCCCCACCCGCAGGTGCACCCCGAGGGCAAGTACGTGGTGGACGTGGACAAGGGCATCGATTTGACGAAGCTGACGCCCAGCACGCGCGTGGCGCTGCGCAACGACAGCTACGTGCTGCACCTGGTGCTGCCCAGCAAGGTGGATCCACTCGTGTCGCTCATGCGCGTCGAGAAGGTGCCCGACTCCACCTACGACATGATTGGGGGGCTCGACCAGCAGATCAAGGAGATCAAGGAGGTGAGCCCGGCAGATCTATTGGGGCAAGGAGGTGAGGCGGGCAGATCAAAGAGATCGAGGAGGTCAGGGCCAGAGATTCTCCAGGATTGATGTGCAGATTTTTTTTGCAGCATGCACAGTTTTGGGGGCTTAAGGTTATCACTGCTACCAGACTAGATGGATTGGATTAATAGAAAAACGGGCTTCCCGGTTTTCATGCCCCATGCAGGTGATCGAGCTGCCCATCAAGCACCCGGAGCTGTTTGAGAGCCTTGGAATTGCCCAGCCCAAGGTAAGCTCTCGACATGCCTGTGCAATCCTTCGGGACTGTCAACTGGTCTACTTTCTCGTTTCTTTTGTTCTATTTCATGCACATTCGGTTTCTTGCTTGTACTGATGTTCGTTGACTGGCACATCAGGGAGTGCTGCTGTATGGTCCACCCGGCACGGGCAAGACGCTGCTGGCGAGAGCAGTGGCGCACCACACGGACTGCACGTTCATCCGTGTGTCGGGGTCAGAGCTCGTGCAGAAGTACATTGGCGAGGGCTCTCGCATGGTTCGCGAACTCTTCGTCATGGCCAGGTGGGTTGCCCACACATGCGTTCTGCAGTAGGTTGCGGTGGTAACATTCCACCTCGCCGTTTCCCGCCTCTGCTTATCGTTTCTCACTGGCAATCCGTGCATCTCTTTCTCTTTTCTTTTCTTCCAGGGAGCATGCACCGTCGATCATTTTCATGGACGAGATTGACAGCATTGGGTCGGCGCGCATGGAGTCGGGCAGTGGCAACGGGGACAGCGAGGTACAGCGCACCATGCTCGAGCTGCTCAACCAGCTTGATGGCTTCGAGGCCTCCAATCAGATCAAGGTGTGCCGACGAGAAATGCTCTGTTGCTGCTAATTGTGTGGCCCATGTTCAGTAGCGAGGTTCACCAGCTGCTGTTTGTCATGCTTGGATGCTGTTTTTTGCACTCTTTTTTTGTTATGGCTGTCATTTGTTTCAAGATATGAAGGTCGCGTGACATGTGCTTACAATATGTTTTGTACGGTCTCTCTTTGATCCTGTGTGATGGCCACGGAACAGGTGCTGATGGCGACCAACAGGATTGACATCTTGGATCCAGCTCTGCTCAGGCCTGGACGCATCGACCGCAAGATTGAGTTCCCCAACCCAAGTGAAGAGGTGAGTGGATGTTTTGGAGGTGTGGTTTTCTAGCAATTTGTGTTTACTGAGTGTGACTGGTTTCTCTGATTATTATTTTCTTGAACTTTTGCCTTTAGACTTGAATTTTGCTGATAAATTTTACCCCTTCCCAATCCCATCTTTGTTCTGTTCTCTGGTTCAGTCTCGTGTGGACATTCTGAAGATCCACTCTCGCAAGATGAACTTGATGAGGGGCATTGACCTTTCCAAGATAGCTGGGAAGATGAATGGAGCGAGTGGTGCTGAGCTCAAGGTGAGATCTACTGCCGTGAAATGCGTTAATAGCAGGATAATCCGATTTATTGTGGGATGTTTTTTTCTTCTTTGTATTTATCTGACTTGGGAAGGCTGTTAATGAAGCTAACCTAAGTTGTTTCTCCCTTCCCGCATCCATCATACAGGCTGTTTGCACGGAAGCTGGCATGTTTGCACTACGGGAGCGGAGGGTTCATGTGACGCAGGAGGATTTTGAGATGGCAGTGGGGAAGGTCATGAAGAAGGATTCGGAGCAGAACATGTCTCTGAAGAAGTTGTGGCGTTAATTCTAGTTGTGAACTTGTGCCATTCGTTGCTTGTACATTTTCATTTACTAGTTGAAGTCCACACTATCGGTACTGCATTTTATCTCTACATGGTAACCGTGAAGGTTTTCTTGTGCCAAACGTGACAGAAGATCGCAACGTTCGAAGTTACTCGATTCGTTCTCTCGCGCACACTCTATCGCGAAAGAATTTGTCGTGGACCTGTGACGTGGCACCACCCTACACCCCAGCTCGGCCTTTTGGCGAAGGAGACGTGGACCTTTCGCATCCAGTCCCGAGAGGACACCCTTGTTTTGTGCTGGCCCCCAGGAGCGCGACAATCCCAAGGCTTGCGTGGCTCCAGCGGGTGACATATTGAAGCGTGGCCTGCCTCTGCTGTTGGTTGGCTCACCTCCCCATTTTATGACTTCCAGGTCCACGTCCGATTCATAATCAAGGAATTTACTTCTGGTGCTAGTTGAAGGATCTTTCTTCACAAAACGCTTGTTTGACCAGTCCACTTCACCAGACCGCTTCTGCTGTCTTCCTGTGTGCCCGGAGGCTTTGTTTTTGGACAGTTGAGTGCATTTTACCTCCCATCTCAATTACGACGTGCCGCCATGGCTCTCGCATGCTCCATGTCATCAGCAGCATCTACATTGAAGCTGTCCCTCGCTCCTCCTAGAACAGCCTCCACCACACGCCGATGCACCATCATCTGCCAAGCCGAGCCCATCCGACGACCAGGACCCGTCGCTCCGCAATCAGCGGACGCTCCAGCAGCCGCGGCTCCTGCCAGTCCGGCGTCCTCCGCAGCGGCCACTGTTCCGGCTGGTGTGACGGTGGAGTATCAGCGGCAGGCGGCGAAGGAGATGGTGGCGTACTTCCAAGAGAAGAAGTACGAGCAGGACGTGCGAGACGGGAAGGTGCTCGGCTTCACCACCAAGAATGAGATCGGCAACGGACGGTGCGTTGCGATTTTTTGTTGTTATCGCATTCTCGTCCCACTTTGGTCTTTAGCATGTATCCTTGAAACAGCCATAGATTTCTGAAGCTGTGCACTGGCGCCAAGGTGTTCTTTTTCTTTTTCGCACCTAGTTTCCGAGGTGGGGTAGTATTACACACCCAACTGACCAGAGAAAGCCACAGGAATGAGTTCGCGTAACGCATTGCGAATCCTAGTCAGCATTGCTTTGCCATGAAGTGAGTTTGTACATTGTAACTGCCTTGGTACCGGCTACCCTGCTTCGCCGAGCGCCCCCTCAAACTGCAATTTGGTCGTAAATGCATTGAGTGTGAGGACCATTGAGAAAGCAAAAGTCTAAGGGTATCCATCGCGGCGTTACTCCCATCCTGTAGTGTTTGTTCCCTTCACTGTTCATTATTTCAAATCCTCCCTCCTTTCACACCCTTACCACATTTCTCTCCCTGTCCCCATGTGAATCCCTCCACCTCACACGCTTTCGTCCCTTTTCTCCCTTCTCTTTCTGCTTACAACCAATTTAGTACAATCTGCTTTCCATCTCTCCTCCCGTCCTCCTCTTAGCTTCATCCCCATTCCCTCTTTCTGACTCCCCCCCCCCCCCCCCCCTGCTCATTGCTCATTTCATGATCACCACTTGGTATGTATTTTGTCCTTGCAGGTGGGCTATGTTTGGTCTGGCAGTGGGTCTGCTCACAGAATACGCCACAGGGGTGAACTTTCCAGACCAGCTCTACATTCTGCTCTCCAATTTTGGCATTGTTGATTAGAGGGTTACCAATGTGAACATTCGGCTTTATACTACTGCTGTAGGTAGTGACACCCAATTAAAGTCAATGCGTTCAGTTTTGTTGCTGGTTAGTAGACATGAATCTCCAAAAGCCCCTTCACAATTTAGACCATTGTCACATCCATTACAATTGCTATGCAAGGTTTGGCGACATTTGTGTTGGTCGAATGATGTGTTGTGTACGTTATGATTTGTACCACTTGTGCATCAGATTATAGTTGAAGCTGTATCTAGGATTGTTGGCTTATCTTACCATACTCTGTACTAAATGTGGCTATTGAAAAGCAGAACAAACTCTTGTGACAAATCAAATAAACATAGGTATGTTTGAACAGTAACCCCTGCTTGGTACACCCTCAAAATTGAGAAAGCTCGCTTTCTTATTCTTATCAATTGACATCGTTCTCATTACAAATGGTTTATTACAACATTTGCATCGACGTTGAACACAAGCTAGTGCAATCGAATAACACTAACTAAGATGTACCCTATCCAAGTGGCATTAGTAAGGCGGTTTACTATGGGGTGGGTGGTGGGAATGTTGAGTGAGCCGTTTGAAAATCGAGAAGCGTGGGTGGAGGGAAATGAACTCCAACCCACGGTTTCTGTAGTTGGAGAAGGGCGTTTAGCGCGCTTCGACGATGCCAATTGTGCAGGACAAGCAGCTTCGCTTTCACAATACACAATTTTAAAAAACACAATGTGTGTTTAAAAATTATAATATTGAGAAAGCTTGCTTTCTTATTCTTATCAATTGGCATCGTTCTCATTACAAATGGGGTCTCTGAGACATGGGCAGCGGGGGCCTCCGGTTGCGTACGAGTGCCTCTGAGTGTTGTGCCGATGACGCTGCATGCGTCAGGTCTTGTAAATTGCGGGAGGCTTCGATAAGAGGCTCGACGTATGGTGTAACATACATTTCCTTTGCTTAGTCGCTTCGCCATCTGCCCAGCCGTTTGAAGACCCTGTCTGGCACGCCCGTGCTGGCTGCTACTGTGGCTGCACTTTTTCGGAAAGAATGTGTGCCGAGCTGCAGGTCTCTGTCAGAATGAGGAATGGGTCTTGCATTGATGTTGGTTGGGGTACATATGACAAACCCTAACTTCTGTACCCCCTAAGACAAACCTCACTACAGGCTACAACATTTGACACACCCCCATAGCCTAAGTGAGGGGTGTCTAGCAAAAACAACAAAAAAGAGTACGGTCACAAGACCAGTCAAAAAAAAAACAAAGCTCAGGGTGGATCACAACGTCACCACACACTCTAAGCACAAGCAACAGTGGCCACAAGGCCAGTCCAAGAGATCACAAGTATATATAGTAAGTGTACAGACGGAGCAGGCAATAAACTCAAGTCTACGCATGACTAGAACCTGTGTCAACAAGGCCTAACTGCACACAACACCTCTGGTGGTCACAAGGCGGAAGCGCCTTGGTGAAGATGTCTGCAGTGTTGGCCTCGGACTCTACAAACTCGAAGCGAGCCTGTCCACGCCTCTGCAACTCTCGCAGAAGAAAGTACCTGACGTGAATGTGCTTCACTCTGCTCTCCAGTCGCGGCTCACGACAGAGGAGGATCGACGCCTTGTTGTCAGTAAACAAGGTCGGTGCAGAGCTCGGCCGCTCACCAAGGTCGGCGAGCAAGAAGGTCAACCACCGTAACTCCTGTGCCGCCATGGCACCAGCGTAAATCTCAGCCTCAGCTGTAGAGGTCGAGACAGAAGAGGAGCGCGTGGAACGCCAGGAAACAGCTCCAGAATCCAGACTGAAACAGTACCCCTGAGTAGACCTGTGAGTCTCAGCGTCGTCAGCGTAAGAGGAGTCACAGTGACCAGTGAGTACGACAGACTGCTGCCCTCCAAGAACTAGCCCCACGCCTGATGTAGTCGCTAGGTACTTCGCCACCCTCACAGCTGCCGTCCAGTGAACAGGACGGTGTCTCCCTGGCGCAACAAAGCGCGCAAGGATGCTGAGAGGGAAGGCGAGGTCCGGGCGAGTACAAGTCATCAGGTACATGAGGCAACCCACAAGCTCTGCGTAGGGACCACTAGGCTCAAACGGCTCGTCAGGAAAGGGACCAGTGAGTCTGTGGTCAACAGCTAGAGGTGTGCGCTGTACGGTGGAGTGCTGAAGCCCGAACCGCTGAAGGACCTGCTGCACCATGTGTGACTGTGAGAGTGTAATGGTGCGAGCGGCTCTGTCCCTGGTGATCTGCAGGCCAAGGTAGTGGCGCAGCTCACCAAGATCAGTGCACGTGTGTCTCTTCTGCAGTTCGGACTTCACGTCTGCCAAAGCAACCCTATCCGGAGTGGCGAAAACGAGGTCGTCGACGTAGACCAGGACAAAGAACGGTGTGGAGCCACGACGAACGAACAGCGACGGGTCGGCAGAAGACGGCTGGAACCCAAGGTCAGAGAGGGTAGAACGCAGAGTGTCGTGCCACTAACGAGGGGCCTGGCGAAGACCGTAAACAGGTCGCCTGAGCCTCCACTGGGTCCCAGGAGGGAAAGTGCCAGTGAAGGCCGAGGGACGACGTAACCAGACCTCCTCGTGTAGGCTGCCCTGAAGGAAAGCAGTGGAGAAGTCGAGAGAGTGTAACTCGTAGTCTCTCTGTGCTGCTACGTGTAGTAACACCCGAAGAGTGGTCATCTTCGGGGTAGGTGCGAAGGTCTGAAAGAAGTCAACTCCCTCGCGCTGACTGAAACCTCTAGCCACGTAGCGCGCCTTGAAGACCGGGGGAGATCCCGGTGGCCGCTTCACCCTGTAGATCCACATGCCGTCGACTACGTTCGCCCCAGGGGGGGGAACCTCATCGACGTAGGTGCCTGTGGATCTGTAGAAGGCCATCTCTGCGTCCATGGCAGCTCTCCACTGAGAGGCCCAAGGCCCTGACACTGCCTCAGCGTAAGTGCGAGGAGTCGGAATGTCAAGGGCGTCGGGGTCACCCTCAGGGGCGAGGAGCATGGCACAGAGATGAGGGGAAGCGGCCGCCAGGAACTCTAGCTCAAACTGCCTGTCCTCTAGGGCGTCACAGCCAAGGGCAGACACACCCCCGACGGCCAGAGGACTGGTAGGAGGAGCAGCCACAAGCGTGGTGGCGTAGTCAAGGCGGCGGGTAGAGGCAAAGTCAGTAACTGCGGCAGTAAGAGCGGACACAGAGGACACAGAGGCAAGAGGGTGAGTAACAAGAGAGGCGAGAACACGAGAGAGAACAGGACGGTACGTGCGGTAGTAGTCAGTGACAGGAGTAGGGAGCGACACAGTGAGGGCCGACTCAGGAGGAGACGGAAGCACAGACTGAGACGGACGAGGTGGACTAGAAAGAAGGAAGGCAGTATGAAGGTCAGTGAAGGGAACAGGAGACGAGGGACGAGCACGAGGGGAGCGACGAGTAGCCCAAGAACGAGACGGAGGAGGAGAGGACAAAGGCGGAGAACTGGGGAAAACAGCGGGGGAGGAGTCAGGAGGAGGAAACGTGGGACCGTAGACAGGAGGAGAGGCGGAGGAGGGAGGAGAAGGGGAGGGGAGACCAAGGATCCGAAGACCCGAGACAGGAGGAGGAAGTGGCTGCTGCTGCTGCGGCTGCGACTGCTGCTGGGACTGCTGCTCCTGCGGGTCCAGCTGCTGCTGCTGCTGCTGCTGCTCCTGCGGCTCCAGCTGCTGCTGCTGCTCCTCCAGCCGCTGTAACTCCCTCTCCTCTCTCTCCAACTCCAGCTGCTCGTCACGAGCACGGCGAACACGAGCCTGGTGCCTAGTCGGGTAGGGGTGGGGGGGTGGAGTAGTGTCCGAAGCAGCGGCAGCTCCAGAGTCCACCTCAGAAGAACTAGGCGCACCACCCCCAGAGGCAGCACTAACACCAGCTCCAGAACCAGGCTCACCTGAACCCGAAGGAGGCGCACCCTCACCCCCAGACGCAGCACCCCCAGTGTCCGCGCGGCCAGCACCAGCTCCCGGACGACAAGAGTCCTCTGCACCCACCGGGTCAGCTCCAACTCCAGAACCAGAAACTCCAGCTCCAACCCCAGCTCCAACTCCAGCACCCCCAGAACCAAAAACTCCAGTGCCAACTCCAGCTCCAACTCCAGCTCCAACTCCAGCACCCCCAGAACCAGAAACCGGTACAGGAACAGGCGCCGCACCAACCTCTCGAGAGCTAGCACCAGCGGCACGCTGCGAGGAGGACTGTGGGGAGGGAGGCTGTACCGGAGGGGCTACCGAAGGAGGAGGGGTAGCCTGGGACACACCTGACGGGGCTGGACCAGGGGGGGGAGGCTGTACCGGGGGAGCAGGAGGGGGAACGGCAGTCAGGAAGAGGGGGGGAGGAGGAACCGGGAGACCTCGACTGGGGTACGTGACGTAGTACGGAGTGGACTCCTCGAAACGGACGTCACGGGAGTCAAAGAACCGGTGAGAGGGAGGGTGGTAAAAGGTGAAGTCAGAGGAGTCCTCAGGGAAACCAAGGAAGACACAGGGGACGGCACGAGGCGAGAGCTTGTCCGCGGAGGTGTCGCGGACAAGAGCCAAGCACCCCCAGACACGAAACCGCGACGCAACACCAGGGGACCCTGTCCAAAGACTGGTCGGTGAAACCTCTGGTCGAGAGACACGTGGCCAGAGGTTCAGCTGGTGCGCGGCGTACCTGACCGCGTAGGGCCACAGAAAATGGGGGGCACAGGCGTGAGTCAGGGAGGTGCGGGCGATCTCCATGACCAGGCCTATGCGGCGCTCAGCAACCCCATTCTGCTGTGGGGACTATGGAAGCGTCCAGGACTGACGAATGCCCTGCTCGCGACAGAATCCAGCGAGAATGCCGGAGCGAAACTCACCCCCACGGTCGGAGTGGAGACAGCTGACACGACGACCACGAGTGTCCTCAGTGGTGAGCAACCACCTGATCAGCGTAGAAGTCACCTCAGACTTCTTCGCCAGAGGGAACACTGTGGTGTAGCGGGAGAAGTCGTCAACTACCACCAGAAAG